GTTTGTTGTCATTTGGAAGTGTGTAGGCCTTCTTGCATTATTATGCTGTTACATTATGATTATATATTCAGTGGCATAAAATGGTCTTTAAAATGACAATAATATCGCTTGTCGCAATTATTTCTGGGGCAATATATCGCACAACAAAAAGTTGTTATCGTGACAGGCCTATTGTTGGGGGGTTGGGGGGCGGACACATACACAGGGTTATTTGGCAACAAAAAAAAAGAACATTATTTGAAAATGATTTTCCTTGAAACTAACTAGTAACATATATGCCCTTGCCATTAACCCTTGACAGGCTCAGACTACAGATTATGGTGGGATATTTGAAACAGCAATACCAGGAAAGGTTACTCACTATAATGCAAACACATGTAACATTTAGGATGCTTTTGATATCAAGTTTTTGAACTGTACTGTAGTTTTCAGTAGTAAACTGTCTGTTCAATTAACAACAACAAAATAAAATGCTCCAAGAACTGGTAACTTAAACAGGGTTTGAGTTGTACAAGGATGCTTTTGATATCAAGTTTTGCTGGTTAGTTTTGTCCTTGACAGGGTACAAGATGACCTACGATCTAAAACATGAAATTTCTGAAATTGTTTTGTTCAAAAGAAATAATAGTAAATGCTATATCATACACTTGGAAAATTATGAGCTATATCACCGCTCAGACACTAGGGGTGTGACAATAAACTTATCTCATGAGATGAGACAAAATGCATATAATTGGTTCAATAGAACGAGACAATGTTTTAATACTTTACGAAATATTTGAATGACAAAATATTTGTCTTTTAATTACAAAAAGTAGAACAATGCAGTTATACGCTATGGCAAAGTTATCGCTTTCCTTATTCAACCTGTTTTTTTTTTTCACGAGTATATGATTGACCTGAAGAATGAAAGCTATGCTATATCATACACTTGGAAAATTATGAGCTATATCACCGCTTATCGACACTAGGGGTGTGACAATAAACTGCAATTAATCGCGTTCGATTAATCGTGCAGCCCTAACAGGACCTTTTCAAAACTACAGGTAAATTTGTTCTGCCAATCCTTATGGAGATGACGTGATTACTCTGAGCTGTTTACAAAGCTCCGAGAATGTGTCGCGCTCATCAGCTGCGACTCTGCAGTTGGCTACTATTATGCACGCCTCATGTTAATAGGACCAAAAACGTCTGATTGGCTAGTAATGTTAGTTTGGTTGAGAGTGAAAGCTGTGTTCCTCTCATACACTGGTAGGCGAACTCATTAACTGGAACGTGATATCAACAAGTTTTTTGTTTTTTTTAATGTAGGAGGACTAGGCTATCTTATTTTCCCGCAGTTAAACGGCACACGCCGGAGATCCGGCACGGTGCCGGAGAACGTTAAGCCCTGGATAATGTTATTTAAAAATAAACTTGAATAAATGAATGAATGGCGATTCAATTGCCAAGGTGTCCATAGAAGGTTGTCAGCATTATGGCAGAAACTCGTAGATTCATTACCTCGCCATCTTCTCCTCCCGGTATGAGGGGTTCGGCTGCCTGAGCCGCCACAGCCTCCATGGCAGGTCTGAGATCTCCGATGGCGGCGCCCAGGAGGTCCCTCACAGCCACGCTACACGCTTTATCCATGACCATAGACTGGGCGTTCTTACACATGTACTTCAGCAGAGGAGGAGACACAGCCTCCAGCAGCTCCGTCCTCCTGATCGCGACATCCTTCTTACTATAAGAGGAAAAACATATGCTTCAGCATCATCCTTTATTTTCCATCTGACACTGTTTTAGGGCTGTGGTTGGCACTTATGAGCCAAATGCAGTACATGTCAATAGAAGACAGGACATTTTCTCATGTGACATACCTGTGTGCATTGCCGTCACCTTTCTCAAGCACCTGAATGATCTCAGGTAAGAGATGGGCTGGGTCTCTTGGGCTCAGCAGGTAAAGCAGCACCTTTTTACCATATTTATTGCTGATTATTTCAGATAGGGAACGAACCATTTCCTGAGAGTAAAATAAACATTATATTAGAAATATTAAATTATTCAAATATTAGAAATTATAAGACAGATAAACCATCAACTATTAAATAAATAATATCTAACTTGAAAGAAACTAAAGAGCACTTACTGAGATGATAATTTGTTTAACCAACTTGGTGTCATCAATGCAATCAAATGCAGCCAACAGTACAAGATGAGCATATTCACCCTGAAAATACATAAATGAATCTTTTTTTACTCATGTAATACATGTGATGGACTAAAATTAATCCATTAACTGGGTGAATCTCATGAAAACTGTCAATGAGATATATATATATATATATATATATAGCTTGTTTTTTTACCCTTCTTTTTTAAATTTTGGGATAAAATATACACTGCCACTGCCATTCAAAAGTTTGGGATCAGTAAGACTTGTAATGTTTTTTAAAGAAGTCTCTTATGCTCATCAACGCTGCTTTTAATTGATCAAAACTACAGAAAAAAAAAAAACAGTAATACTGCAAAATGTTATTACAATATAAAATAATGGTTTCTGTTTTAATATACTTTAAAATATAATTTATTTCTGTGATGCAAAGCTGAATTTCCATCAGCCATTACTCCAGTATAAAGTGTCACATGATCCTTCAGAAATCATTCTAATATGCTGATTTATTATTAGAGTTATCAATGTTGGCAGATAATAAATCAGCATATTAGAGTGATTTCTGAAGGATCATGTGACACTGAAGACTGGAGTAATGATGCTAAAAATTCAGCTTTGATCACAGGAATAAATTACTTTTTTTTTTATATATTAAAATCGAAAAACATTATTTTACATCATAATAATATTTCACAATATTACATTTATTTCTGTATTTCTGATCAAATAAACACAGCCTTTCTCTGAGCATAAGAAATTTCTTTAGAAAACAATAAAAATCTTACGGATCCCAAACGTTTGAATGGCAGTGCAATCCAGACTTCTGTGATATTCACCCATTCATACTGTATAGATAAGGAAGGGCAGCTTACCATTGCAAACTTGGCAATGTATGAATTCATCGTTTTTACTATAACTTTTCGGTCCTGAAAAAAAAGAAAAGAAAAAAAGAGCATTGACAAAAAAACATGTCAAACAGCAGCAATCATGTTGTCTAAAATGACATGTTTAAAAGAGTGCTAACCTTGGGAGTGCCGTGCCATAAACAGTGCATGGTGACTCTGGCTCCGTCATGTGTGTGAGCCATGTACACGACCGACTCTCTGATGGACTCGATCATCTCCTGAAGGACATCACACCACAACAGACATTAGACAGCAAGCAGCAGCAAATACACTGGTGGTCATCTCTGGTCACAACACTCACCGTTCTCTGTTTGGCTGGAGCGTGCTCAAAGAAGTCCAGAAAAACTTTGTGGACCAATGAATGTTTGTTTAATGACGGCCTCCCTGTAGAGGGACCGTAATGCATTAAAGGGATAGTTCACCCAAAAATGACAATTTGATGTTTATCTGCTTACCCCCAGGGCATCCAAGATGTAGGTGACTTTGTTTCTTCAGTAGAACACATATGATGATTTTTAACTTTAACCGTTGCAGTCTATCAGTCGTATAATGCATTGCAATGGTAACAAAATCTATGAAAGTAAAAAAAACATGCACAGACAAATCCAAATTAAACCCTGCCTATCCCTTTAATACACCCAAAGATTACTGAATCACATGCCAGTACTGATGGACGGTATTAAGCCCCGTTCACACCAAGAACGATAACTATAAAGATAACGATATTAGCGTCCACACCAGCGAACGATATCGTCTGTTTATTCTAAGCGCACGCTCGTCTGCCGCTTTAAATTTTTTAGCTCGTTACAGCAGGATGGATTCTGATTGGCTGTCAATTTTTTATCATTCATCAGCTGGAGAAAAATCGTTTTGAAAGTGATTCCAACGATATCGTTTCTCTTTGTCTTTATCGTTATAGTTGTGGTGTGGACTTTGCTATTCTTTAATACTGAGAACGATTTTTAGAACTATATCTTTATCGTTATCTTTACAGTTATCGTCCTTGGTGTGAACGGGCCTTTACTCTTGTAGCATTTATGCATATTCTGAATTTTATTTTATTTTTATATTTAGTTTTCTTTTACATGTTAGCAATTTTACTATGTGCTTTTGACATTTTTTTTTTTAATGTTTGTATTTGGCCCTAATTTATTACAGTTTTAGTAATTTAATACTTCAAATAACCCTATTTTATATTCAGTTATTTGCTCTCACAACATTTCTCATTTTCATTGACGTTTTTCATCTAATAATTATATTTCATTTCAGCTTCACTTCAATGAATGAAAAATTATTTTGTTTTTAACTCAGGTGTTACATAATGAAACTTTTTTGCAGTGATTTGAGAATTGTCATTTCTCTGTTAGAATCATCACAATCATATTTGTTTCGAGTTCATTAAATAAATAAAATAAATAATAAAATAATTAATAATTCATTAAATAAATAAAATAATATAAATTAAAAAAAATACACTTAAAAGATTTGTATTTAATTCATTAAATTAACCAACTGATAAATAAATAGGCATTTTATAATACATAAACCACATTTTTTAGAAGGATTTCTAGCAAAAATAACTTGGGTAGCGATGTATTCAGTCACAGTGATCTAATATCTTGACCCAAACAAAAAACTCACCATGTGTACATAAATATACCAATTAAAAATAAACCGCAGACAATAAAAAAAAAAAAAAATGTAAAACTGATTTCAGTAGACAGCCCTAAAAACTCACTTCTGTGCCATTGGTGTGAGGATCTGCTTCATTTCATCCATGATGCTCTCGAATTTCTCTGGATTTGCTTTCAAAACCTTGTTTAACGCTGGCCAAACTGAGGAGTGCAAAAAAGAACATGTTATCACCATCGTTGCGGACAACTAACACACTGATCTTTCTATGTACTTCAGAAACAAAGCTTCCAAGAACCCAGCAGCTCAAAGCTCGAGTACCTTGCAGACTTGGAATGTGTTTCCGTAGAGCTCCTCGGTGAGCATGAGTCTCTGGGACAGGACGGCCTTGTTGTTGTAAGCGTACTCGACTACTGAAGACGCCTCGGAGTGCCTGAGCATCTGCCTGACGTTCCCCTTAAAAGCCGACATCACTGCCCCCACCTGCGGTTTACTCCTACAGGACAAATCAGTATTATTTAACATTTCCTCTTTGAGTGGATCATAAAATCATGTATCGTTCTCATTCTGAATCAAGTCAAACAATGTAAACACTTTTAGGAGAGAATGTTATTTAGTCCATGTTTTTCAGAATAACTGCATTATAATTGACTGAGAAACTGACGTGACTTACCCATACATTAGAAACTTTTTCACAATGTTTCTTGCATATTTCGATTTACTCAACTCCACAAGGTGCTATAGAAAGTGAAAAGGATTAGGAGAGACAATCACTTCACATAAATTCAGTTTCATTGCACTGATGAGAAGACCAACCTTTGAGTTCATCGAAGACCTCCTGTCTCTGCTCATCACTGCCAAACTGAATAAAGCACTGAAGCACTCGGGTGGAATCATGAGCAAAGGCAATCTAGCAAAGAAAAGGCAAGCGTTTTACAATAAAATATTGATATATCATTTCAAACAGTGAATGCTCAGCTTAATAAAGAGGTTTTACTTACTGTTTTAATATTTCCGTTCACAAGTCTCTGTAGTTCTTTCATCAGTCTGGTCCTTTTTTGCTTGTCACAGTCCTTTCCTATATTTCCACAAAACACATAGATGTGAGTGTTTCTTCAACCTTGGCACTTTTATGTCTCAGGTTTTTGTCCTATGATGTTTATTTTAAAAGGGTCATATGATGTTGCTAAAAAGAACATTATTTTGTGTAATGAAATGCGTTTATGCGGTTTAAGGTTAAAAACACATTATTTTCCTCATACTGTACATTATTGTTTCTCCTCTATTCCCCGCCTTTCTGAAACATGTCGATTTTTACAAAGCTCATCGTTCTGAAAAGCAAGGTGTGCTGTGATTGGCCAGCTATACAGTGCGTTGTGATTGGCCGAATACCTCAAGCGTGTGACGGAAATGTTACGCCCCTTACCACATTGTGATCATGCCCTGTCAGGCCGGAGCAATGATTCAAAAACATGAAAACCCATTATAAACGAGGCATTCGTTGCATCCAGTGGGGACATAATTACGGATTATAATGACTTATACTGTCTTTTTACGCATTGCGTTGCATCGCGCCGCGTAAACATAAAACCATGTCTGCATTTGTGATCGGAGAAATGACAAACAACAAGCCCTACTCTACACTGCCCAAAAAAACTCGCTTTAAATATATAAAAACTCTTTAAATATAAAAAACGTACTTACAGTCTGACAGCCGGCATTGTAGTCTACTCTACCAGGATCAGGAAACAGTCCTCCATAAAATGTGCTGCACACATCTGAATATTTGGGTTGAACTGTTCTGAAACAGTGTTGTAAATACAACTTAACCACTGATTTCTAGTCGTGTCCATTTTTGGAAGGCCAAACAAAGTAGTTTCGCTTTCACAACGAAACACACAGCGTCACACACGGCAGGCT